CGGCCATTCCAACCAGTCGGGTCGATTGAACGATACGGTACACGCCTCGGGCCACGACGATGACGACTCGGATCACGAACATGCCCTCCAGAATTCCACGTCAAACTTCTCCCATGGGTCGGGGATGCACAGCCGCAGCCCACAGCAGGCGGCTGCTGCCGCCGAGAGCGCAACCAAGACCAAATACACGTACGCCGCTTTTTTTCTGGTCGTCAGCCTCATCACATTCTGCGTCCAAACCGAGCTCAGTGCGCACATTCAACACGACCGAGGGTGGTCGAAGGCCTATTGCATGATGTACCTGACACACGGGTTTTGGGTATTTCTTTGGCCTTCAATGCTCCTAGTCCTGCGGTTTAGAGCCAGGGACGTGCCCTGGTCGGTCTTTTTCAGGAGACATCTCCTCCACCTAAAGACGACCATCATGATGATTGAAACCCAGACATTAGATGTCCATCGCTCTGCTTCACGGCACAACTCCAACCCCCTTCGTTACATTGTTCGCTTCACTGTCCTGATCACATCTGCTTTGACTGTAGCTGGTCTCAGTTGGTACATTGCAGTAAGCTTGACCACGCCCTCCGATTTGACCGCCATCTATAATTGCTCTGCATTTTTCGCCTATGTTTTTTCTGTGCCTTTACTTCATGAGCCTCTACGCCTAGACAAATCCGTCGCTGTTCTTATCGCAATTGCAGGAGTGCTTGTTGTGGCCTACGGAGATACCAAAGGCACCGACACTGAAACTGGAGCTGGTAGCCGCTTTCTTGGAAATATTGTAATCGGCGTTGGTTCTGTGCTATACGGGTTGTACGAGGTGCTTTACAAACGATTTGCCTGCCCACCCGAGGGTACATCGCCGGGTCGAGGTGTCACTTTTGCTCTCACATTTGGCTCCCTGATTGGCCTTTTCACCTTGACGGTGCTCTGGATTCCCTTGCCGTTTTTGCACTGGCTGAATATCGAGAAATTCGAGATCCCAGACGCTTCTACTTGCTGGCTCATCTTGCTGGCTGTGCTTTCGAATGGCATCTTTAGCGGGAGCTTTCTGGTACTCATTTCGCTAACATCTCCTGTGCTATCATCTGTCGCCGCACTATTGACTATCTTCTTGGTAGCATTGGTCGATTGGTTTATCACCGGTGAGCCTCTTAGTTGGGCTGCGATCATCGGAGGTGCTATGATCATTGTCGCCTTCCTAGCTCTAAGTTGGAGCACATATCGTGAGATGAAAGAACACGAGGCGCAAAAACTTTCGGTAGATCTGGCGGACAGCGATGTCGATGAGGGGTCGGATTCGACTCCTGATGAGGCATAGAAAATTTGTATTATTTGGGGGCTCTACATTTTGGATCATGCTGGTGTTTACTTGACGGGCAAGGTGCAAACATTGCATTTACTATACAGGGATTTTGTCTCCTACTCTGGATTTCTCTGCATGAACAGGAGTAACGGAATCATAAACGGATCTATCACTTTCGGAGTTGAAGTGCAGTATCTGGCTGGGTTGAGGTAACATAAATAAAATTGGGCTCATCTACTGTACATATTTAGGTCACCACATAGAGTTTTGTTATCCATTCCATCCCTGCACCAGATCAAGTGACATAGGGGAAACGCAAAGCTGAGTTTTGCGTTCTGCGCTTTGCACGCTGTCGGCGGCCAAGCCACGGTCTGGACGGAACCCCCCTTAGTTGAGAAGGTGGTACAAGTTCAGCTTATGCCGCTTCCCGGAGGTACGTCGCGGATAGAAGAAGAACGAACCGTCGGTAGAGTTCTTACTATGCGCTGTGTACACGCCATCAACGGTCTCTAACGTAGAGGCATGCATACGCCCTGTTCTAACGTCTGCAACCTGAGACCTTGTTGAGCGGTTGGGCTCGGATAGGTCTAGGCCGGGAAGAAGCAAAAAGAGAATACGGATGGCGGTCAAGGTTCCACGAAACTGCAAGCAAAAGAAAGGAAACCGGTATGTTCAGGCAGCCAATCTACGTCGTGGTCGGGCCTCCTTTTCACTCAGCCCTAATGCAGGCATATTCCTTCTGGTTGGGATGCAGAAGGGTAGCTGCATCTCGCCAGTGTTTTGCGGCGAGGATGAACGGGCTGCGGGCGCTATGTTGAGAGAACCGTGCAACATGTTCACCTTGGAGGCCAACCAGCTGCCAGTAATGTAGGAACGGCTGTGTTTTGGGTGCTGTAGGCAGGCAGAGAGGGGCCGCCCGGAGCTTTTGAAAGCGACTTGTCACACGTCCAGGTACCTCCCAGCAATGTACGGCTGGCTCCCGTGCATCTAAGCTTGATAGGCAGGCACCCAGACCGAGAAAAACGCTTACCAGCGTCGAACGTTGGGTGCGCGGTCCGCCAGCTATCGAGAGCCTTGTTTCGTGGTGCTTTCCGACGACTTGTGTTGGCAAACGCACACGGCAGGTTCACATGTTGATAAACGTCACGGTTACTGCGCGGTCCAACGCGCGCCTCGATTTTGCCCTCTGTTCTTTCCTCCTACCTACCTAGTCACTACATAAATCGCGTGCCTGTCTGCTCCTTCTTCTTCACTTGCTCCCTTCCCACATATCCTTTGCCCATCCTCAACCCCAACGCGGATACCTCTGCTCTTCATCCAACAACACTCTCCATTTTCTATTAAAGCCTTGATGTTTTCAACAACGCCCAGGGCGTTCACGTTGAAACCAATATGCCTGGCAGGACTGGCTCCCCCGAGCCAACTCTCAATATCATGAGCAAGGATCAGGAGGAGACTTATGATCAAATAGTAGAGCGCCGTCACCAACTCATCCGGCCACTTTGGGAGAAATATGAACAGGGCCACTACAAATTTATTCCCGATGACCAGCCGGAATCAACAATTGAGCTCATTAAATCGTCAGATCTTCGAGTTGAGCGCCGTGGAGATTTTTCCAAAGGGCAGCTTTCGTCCATTCATGTTGCTCACAGCGGTGCCAAGGAGTTCCCCGGTGTGAACTTCATTGGCTTCGAGCCCACGCAACAGTGCCTGGCATTCAGAGGCGAAGCAAGACATTTAGAGTCGTTTATAGAGTTCTCCAACGCAATGGTCAAAGGAGAGCGAGTCCAGTTCGTTTTCAAGGCCCCCGCCGCACTCGTGATCCCCAAAGCTGGGTTCAGAAAAAATCTCGACTACGATGAGTTCGCCGGCCAAGTCGAAATTGTCGAATATGCCATGTGGCTCAGGCCACCCAGCCCCGAAGATGAGGCATCCGCATGTCAGTTTTGTCCCCATCTGCCGGACGCATGAATTTATTTCCCTTGTTAACCTTTTATATAGATCCCCCGGATGACTTGGTTATGTTGAGCCCAGACGAAGATGGCTTGTTTGAAAACACCGAGCCAGCGTCAAACGCTGCGGCTTGTGACGAGCAAGGCAACACACTGCCCATGGATTTCGATGACCAGAGCCCAGAGCCTCTTGTTCCAAATTCCAAAATATACTCCACAGATAGTACTCTCTCCGATATTCCCGAGGAACAGGAAGAGGTTTCTTTTGATGGCCGTCAGCAAGGCAATACTGTCAACATCGCGGACCAAGACCAAGACCATGAAATGATAGATGGAAATGCACTCCAGGTCAGAGCTTGCACAGACTGCGATGCCAAGGAAGCTGATAAGTTAGCTTCACAACTCGAGGCCGATGCAGCTTTGGCCGTATCTCTCTCACAGTCGCTTACAAATACCACTCGGTATACTTTGCGCAAACGGAGCAGTACCCAGCCACCTGAGGAGGTTGTCAACCCGACAAAGAGCAGCAGTAGCAAGATTGCTGAAGCCAGTAAAGAAAATGGGAAAACTCTCCGTGCTACTAGCACAGCTAAACAGCCGGCAAAAAAGACAAGCAAGAAGGCCAACACTGGTCCGCAAACAAGGAAGACTAAGCCGCGACGTCAGTAACTAGCTACTGAAAGCATCTACGTAGGATGTTGAGATCCCCCAAACCGGGCCATGATACTTTGAGGAGAAATGTTTTGTGTTATGAAGAAAGGAATATCTTGTTCGGTGTTGAGGATGTTGATCTCGAAGCCATGAGATGAATCTTAAGATTGGTAAAAGCTCCAATGCGAGCGGGGTTAAAATTGATGAGGAACAAATTGATGAATGGACGATACCACTGCAGCTACGATAAAATGAAAAACATTGAGCTTTAGATCATGGGAATTCCCTGTTTCCCATAACGAGTACAGGGCCGGAGTGACCAGGTTAAGCCTGCACCAACCGTCCGTGATCTGGACCACATGATATGCCATTCCTCCGAAGGTCTGGACCGCGTGTGCATGGTTCCAGAACCTAGAAGACTCGCCTCCTTCATCCTTGCACAACATCTTTTTGATCGTCTATTCGCGTTTCTCTACACTCTCCGGGGTCATCACGGCAATTTTTGTTATGGCTAGAAATCAGTTGCCAATACGCGAATGGTAAAAGATGCGAGTTATCTAGGTGAGGCTGAATGGATTAGTCGTAAGATCGAGATCGGGCATGAGAGTCAGGCGGCGCTGGTGGAGGGGCTCTACTAGCAAAATGATCGTCAGCCCAGTGATTTTTATACGTTACCCATGCTGTATTATTATATATGACGCAATGTAGGTTGGAAATGCCCGCCCGGTACGTCGTTTATCTGCCAGTTCAGTTCGATTGTTTTTTTATTTTCGTCCCGACAGGAGAGCGCCTGCTCCGTAAAACTGCAGTGGGACGGGACCCCACGCTCACCAGCGACTCAAGGCGAGACAGCCATATTTACAGGCACAGCCTCCGCTCCGGCCCCTCTTCACCTTCCCAAGCGTCGAGCTTGAGGCTCTCGACGACGCCTCGCGCTCCATCCTCTTCTTGCGCGCAGATTGTCCCAAGTCTTGTTAGTTCAAGTACAATACAAACTGCCTACCTGAATCCCAACCTAGTTGCTTTCCAGCCAACACTGTAAACCTCCCACCTGCTGCCTCCGAAACCGAAGCCATCGCACTGTCCAACAATCCATGGCCAGCGCTTCCGCAGCAGGTGGCATTGAACCCGCCCAGCTGGGATTTCTCGCCATCTTCAATCCCTCTCTCGGCAGTACGGACGAGACCATCGATGACCAGATTGTATACTATTCCTCCGTGAGCACCCAGTCGGGCTCTCTCAGGAAGAAGAGGAGACGGAGACGGAGCCGACCAACGGAAGGCATCTCCCAAGCTGAGCGCCATGAGCGTCTGCGGCAGATCGGCCTTGCCCAGGGCATGGCCAACTTCAGTCGCGGGTTCGCAGACGGTGCCGCTGTCGATACTATTGATACGGAAAGATCGAGAGTCGTTCTCCATGAACTGGAACCTGGATGGTGGATTCTTGCGGTTCGTTGGCTGATCTCTTTATCCTTCCTGTTCTGATGGAGACATCTGATACACAATTGATTCTAACAAATTGCACTCAGAGCATCGACCTCACGAAAGTCCCACTGCCACCAAGACTCCCGACAAAGGGCAGCGAGGCGCAAGAAGACCAATTCGAATACTCGAGCCGTGAGATGAAGCCCTCGACCCTGCTGCTCGGAGACCTTCTACGCGCTCACAACATATTCCTCATGCACCATGGATCCTCTTTGAGCGCCCTTTTCGTCCGTTCCAAGAGGTCCAAATTCGTTGCTCTTCTCGGTCGATATTGGGACCTCTACGTTTCGACTTGGAATGTGATGCTGCACGGTAACCCTGCTCGTGAGATATTCGGTGGGATCAACCTCGCCGCTTCGGGCGAGCTCGGTGTTGGTGTTGGTGAAGAGGAGCGCGGGAGCGGTGAACGCGAAGTCTTGGAGGGGCTTGTCGGGAGAATCGAAGGACTCGTCGATCTGGTGGTATCCAAGTTTGGGGAGCATGAACCGGAGGAGGATACCCTTGAAACGCTTAACGATAACCAGTCACAATGGCTAGGAACTGGAAAGGAACCCAGTTGCGAGGATGGTGCCATATTTCTCGGGCTAGGAGCGTTGTCCAAAAAGTCCCTGCGTGATATCACCCACTGGATGGAAGACCTATACACTTGGGGTGAACATGCTTATGGCGTGATTGATAGCCCAACCTCGACACGGCGCAACAGACATAGAATGGCTTCAAAGAAAATCGAAGAGGATCCACAGCAGCCTCTCTCAGGGGTGGCAGAGCCTTCAACCTCCGAGGTACAGGAGGAGCCCTCAGAAGCCATCCAGCCAGATGGCCAGAGTTCATCAGAGCCCGCAAAGCAGCCAGCAGCCAGTGATCAAGATGGAAAGTTCAATAAGATGGCGACTTATTTCAAAATGGGGTATGGCACGTACTGGAGCATACCCGGAACGGGCACAGTGAGCGATACCTCGACGGGCTCGTCACAAGTCAAAGGACCAGATGACACTCCAAAGCAAGCGGTGGAGCCGAAGCAACCTCGCCCTAAGCCCCCAGTTCGCTCACCGTCAGTCGAAGCTGCAGGCCATTACTTGATTGGATTGATGGGCGAGATCGAGGAAGGAGCCAGTGACCTCGAGGAGAACCAACATTCGGACAACAACTCGGAAACAGAGCACAATTCGCGGACTGTCCTCAGAACACTCCACGTTGAGCTCGAAAGCGAGGCTGAGGACCGGCCAGAGTCCATGATTGTCAAAGACTTTGAGCATCCAGCCAGCATCTGGACACAATCGCAGGTCATGGGCAATATGGTTCCAGGCTACAACTCACACGATTTGAATAAAGCAAAAAAGCTACGTGTAGTTGTCTACGTGAATCGTCCTTTCATTTTCACGTTTCTCTTCGAGCTACGAACGGACTCCCTAGCATGGGATGCCCTCTATCGCTCGCTTCACTACCAGCTCGCGCCGCTGAAGAAGCCGTTATTGTCCTCCACGAGCTACCGCCCAGAGCAACCTAGCACAGGCTCATCTGTATCGAATATATTCAACTTGGTGTGGGATCCAAAGGCGATCACCTTCTCCTCTACCATTCCCAACATACCAGAGACGTATGAGACGGAGAACTCCTGGTCCCGTGCCGATGCGCTAAGTACGCACTTCCATATCCTCCAAATCCATAACGCTACACGCGCCCATCCCAACGACCTTGAGAGGACTCAGAAGACTGGCCGCGGATGGTGGATTGTGTGGACGAGACTTCTTCATCGAAGGGAAGAAACCGCCGGCAGTAATCTTCCCACCATCCAGGAGTCCTCCGCGCCTTCCTCGTCCGCCGCTTCCGCAAATGGATCTGAAAATGATGCGTCGCAAAGCTATGGTACGGAGGACGGCAATGTTGCAACAACCGTTGACAAGGAAATATTCCTTATCCGTCAAGCCAGCGACCATAAAGGGTTTCAAGACAGGGCGGGTGAAGGAGCGGGCAAACTGGCTCAAGGGATTGGCGTCGATACGCGACGCTACGTAGAGGAACTATTAAGCTTGCTCTGATTTCTTTTCTTTTGCTACTCGTTCAAATTTATGTAGTCATTGCGGCGGAGTCGACGTTATTTGGGGGTGCCCTTAGGCAGCCCATGCATGTTCTTTACCATTACGTGCCTATTAGGCTTCCAGATTCACAAAACTTCTGAGGTTTGCAATTTGTGTCAGTGTAGGAATAAATAATATTACTGTTCGTTTTTCTGTCTAATCAAGTCCAGTCCACTTGCTCTGAAGCAGGCCAGGATCATACTCCTTCTATTCCGAAGCGAATAAATATACAAGAAGGTGCTTGCTGCCGAAAAAATATATGGTTGGGGCAAGAGATGCTATATATTCTGCAAGGGTATCCAACTCTCCTCTTCCCCAGAATAACTCGTACCAAGACCACCCAGGATCAACGTCAAAAGATAAAACACACAAGTCTTAGGTCATGAAACTAGCCAGGCCGGCTAGGTAAAGAAAAAGGTCTTCAAGAACAAAAACTTGCAAAATCCTCTTTATGCGTCGATGGTCCAGCTCAGCTCGCCGCGACCGACACCGGTATCGCCGAAAAGCTGGACGAAGAGCATCTCTGAGAGATCGATGCTGCCGATTGTGCACTCGGGACACTTGTCGCTCACGATACCGGTGGCGGTGTTGCCGTTCTTGGCGGTGATGTGGACGGTCTTTCCGCAGGGGTTGATGCCCTTGGCGGCCGCGTCGCTGTAGTAGGCAGCGGCGAGGGCGACTACTGGCTGGCTGAGATCCTGTCCGGCGTAGTTGGTGCCACCGCAGGAGCCGAGGCCGATCTTGAAGTAGGTGCCGTCACCAGACAGGACCTGGCCGCTGCCACCGCCGGAAGATGCGGAGGTGGTGGGGACAGGAGCCTGCGAAGTAGTGGTAGGAACAACAATGGGGGCGATCGTGGTGGTAGGGACCTCGATGACAATGCTGCTAGTAGTGGTTGGGATAGGGGCAACGTAGGTGGAGGTCGACGATGGGATGACAATCGAGCTGGATGAAGAGGTTGTCGAGGTGGTAGAGGTAGTAGAGGTGGAGGTAGAGGTAGAAGTAGAGGTGGTGCTAGGAGGAGCAGAGGAGCTGGGGCTCGAGGTTGTCGAGACTTCGAAGAACTTGGCGTCGGTGGTGGGCTGGACGGCGGGAGCAACGGTCTCGCGGGATCCGTCCTGAGCAACCAGAATGGTGGCCGTCACCTCGACGACTTCGGTCTCGACGACGGTGACCTGGCGCTTGTGGAGGTGGTTGTGGCCGTGAGGCTTGGCGACGGCAGCACCGACGAGGAGACCGAGAGCAACGGCGGACTTCATTTTGACTGTTGGTGATCTTCGGTGTGTAAAGACTGGTATATCCGGTAAGGAGCGGCGAAGTGAAATAATTCTGGTGATTATTTAAACTGTATGCCTTGTCCGTCTCTCAAAGAATGGAAGAGATGTTGAAAGCAGTACCAATGAAGAAGCGGATGTAATGAGGGAATCGTCTTTACAACTCAATGGATGATCTGGAAAGCTCGGCAGTCCGACATAAAGGGGGGGAGGGTCGGTATTTGAGAGTACCAGCTCATTTCGATATGGATACATCAATACATTGCTCATAACACCAAGTTGGTCGTATAATGGTAATTAGTCTGGGGGAGCCACCAGGTCCGCTCGGGATCGTCTGCCTGGCCCCTGTCGATTGAACCGGCATCATTGGCCGCATTCCAAGCGTCCCCTGCAGCTGGGTCAGGTACCAGCCAATTGACAGCCACCTCGTGCCTGAACCGGGGCTGGGATGGCCGGTGGCATCAGTCAAACCCCCTGCTGGGACCCATGGAGGATCCCTGGAGGCTGGTCCACAAGTTTTCAGGCCATCAGCGGGAACACACAGTAGCATGGTGATGAGTTTTTTCCCTCGCCAGGGGAGCCCTCCCATCCCCCTAATTTCAAAGGAGGCAGTGCCCTATTCGAGGTCAACTCCCAGTGAGCAGAGCACGGGGGGCGGAAGCCATGCGCTGAAAGTTGTTGGGCTCTGAGACAGCGAGAACACTCGGCCATGTGAACGATGAGACTGGCTACGTAACGGAGGCAAGATAACTCAGCTGTTGATTCTCCCCAAGACACCGGAGGGGATGGTGACCGCCACTGCTGAAGAGCTGTGTGCGTGTCTGCCAGGGGGCAGGCTCACCCTTCTGGGTGCTACAGCCAGCACCCGTCCTTCCGGTCAGCAAGGGCATCAAGGAGAGTAATTACAGCCAAATTAGTGGTAAGGTGTGTGGTAATCCATCTCCAATTGGAAGTGGTGGGTGTGCTGGGCTTCTCCGTGCCTGACTGACGGGCTAGACGGAATGCAGACACTGGCGAATATTGGCCGTCGCCACGCAATGCCACCGCTAATGGCGAGAGACGGGGGGGGAGGGTCTCAGAGAGCGGCCACCTGCCAACACACCAGCCAGGCGTGCGCTTTGACATCCAACCATGTCATTGTTTATATTGCGCCGGAGAGCTCATCTTGTGCCTGGCGAATCCCGAGTTGCATGCTGGATCATCTGAGAGCTGGGTTGCACCACTAGGCGAATACCACGTTCAGGCACATTTCAGCAGGTTCCAGTCTGCAGCCACACACGCGGAGCGGCCCAGAAGCGCCCTGCTGCAGACCCAAAGTCAATATGGCTGACTGCAGTGCTGTGACACCCAAATGGTGATTCGGTGAGGACTTTGAGCCAGTGTAGATGCGTGTGTAGACACTGTCGTGTATGTGTACGTAATTATTGGGTATGCAGTACATACCACCAATGCACCTATCCTTGCTGTTGTCTCCTCCTTCTGCTATTAGTTCGGTTCTTCGGTTGTACCTACATGTACGCTGTTGGCTTACGATGGGAGGGGAGGCACTACGCTACGTATTGGGACGTAAACACGAGGCGAGAACAGGCAGGGTTCCATCACGTCTCATTTCCACTATGCCTAGCTCAGTCCCTCCTCTGCGCTGGAAGTACCTGTAGCAGCTCTACCGTGTTTGCTCTTGAAGGAGAACAGAAATAGCCCCTGCCGCTGAAAGACGGGACGGTCCTCGTCGAAGAGCTCCTCGACGCGGAAGGCCTTCCTGGCCATCTTGACAAAGTTCATGTCCGCCCGCCTCCTCTTCTTGAAGCAGAAATACACGGTGGCGTCGGCGTTGAGCGCCAACAGGTCCTTGAGGGTCTGCATGAGCAGAGGGAACGCGGGCTCAAAGTAAACGCACTCGGCGGCGATGATCACGTCTGGCTTCTGCTCCACCACTTCCTGGGGCAGCGGCTCTCCCCTACTCGCGCCGTTATTCGGTTAGCCAAGGGGGCCTGGCAGGTGAGGTAGCAGATCGGCGTCTGGCAAATAAATAAATGATAATGTGAAACCCACCAGTTGAGGATGAGCGCCGAGGCCTGGTCTTGGACCTCATTTCGCTCGATATTAAGCTTCATCAGCTCCAGCATCTCGAGCTGGTCTGTGATGAGCATCTTGGCGTGCACCCCACAGCCGAGCAGCACGCCAAGCCCAACCAGACCGATCCCTGAGCCTAGTTCCAATCTAGGTTAGGTGAGGAGGACAGGGTTAGCCGTCTGTCGGACGCAAGAACAATAATGCGTGATGGGAGTGGTTAGGACCAGTCAGTCAGTCAGTACTGTACTCACATCCGTGCATCTTGGAGCTGTGCCCGGTGATACCGCAACAGGTGCTTGCCCAGCAGCATTCCCGCCGGCCAAGTCTGGCCGCCGCAGCCCGTACGGACATCCTCGTGGAGCTTTAGTGGGGTGGTGAGCTGGCCGTCGAAGTCGACCGTGACGTTCCCCTTGGTCTTGAGGCTGGGGAGCGGAGCGAGGTCCTCGCTGACCTCTATCGGGTCCAGCGGAGGGGACGGTTGTGGGCTGTCAAAGGCTGGCATGCTGTGATGGATGGATGGGGATGTGAGACTAGACTGGCTGCGTTTGAGGGTGAGACGGACGGGGGCTTCAGTCACGGCACAGAGCAGAAGTATTGAGTATTGGGAGCTGGTTTTGGGTTTGGCGGGAGTTGTGGGAAGTGTTGGCCGAATTTCGGACCTTTGCTCCTTCTTGTGATACCTTACCTTTGCCTTGCCCTTGCTTGGGGGAAGTGGTCTACGAACCAACGCTCGTTCTATGGCCCTGCTTCGCTTCACACTGGGTTTCGAGGAGAAAAGGCCGCTTGTGGGCAGTTGCAGAGTCCATAGACTGGATGCACACGTTCTAGACTTGGATCCTATCTGTCCTGTCACCGACACAAGCGGGCTAGCCTCTGATAACGATTACCCACTCTCTTCTCGCCTCTTCCCTCTCGTCAGGTCAGGCTTTCCTCTCACAGCCCAAGTGAACTTATTCGTAGGCAGCAGAGGCTGCTTATTCACCAAACCACGATCTGAGTCTAGCCAATGGCAGCCAGCGCTGCAACAGAGTCATCACCGCTGCCAAGCTGCTGGTAAGTGTCCACCTCGCAGTGGCATCCTGTGTCTCCCTGTGCTGCGTCCATGTCTCGGATTCTCACCCTCACTCTGGTCCCTATTAAATAGGGTGGCTCGCCCTCTCCAGCTTGCCAGGCGTTCACAGGAATGCAGCTGCGACATCCCCCAGCCTCTACCCGCCTTCCCTTCAATCAACTGCCCTCTGCTCGCCAGTATCGGGGGCCTTAAGCCGACCCTCATGGCCACCATGGCAGACTCAACCAAGACATTTCGCCCCTCGCCAGTATGGTGCGAGCTGCTGGACTCCAGCCTGCTCCTGAGGAGGGGTCGTTTCGTCCTTGAATATGGGCAATAACTCTCCCACCCAGGAATGAAGGGATCCATATCGCTAGAGATCTCCGGCCATCAGCACGAACGATGCGGATGGATTCCCTTGGGGTGCCTCTGCCCCCATCATGCATGTCATGCCGTCCATTTGCTCTTTTCGTAGACTTTGCTGCTCTCGCATCTATTCTTGTTCATGCTTAGATTTTGAATGGCATCAGCCGAGGCTCTGTTTTCCAGGAATCAGCGCCTCTAATAAGCGCCTTCATCTGTAAACCACCATGGCTTCTCCCATGATCTGGCTCTACTTCCTCCAGCTACTGCAACTCGTCTCCTGCGTCCCCATCATCTCGTTTCCGTTCAACGCACAACTACCGCCCGTGGCGAGAATTAAACGTCTATATTCATATTCTTTCTCCTCGTACACATTTCAATCCGACACGAATATCACGTATCAACTACGAAACGGTCCCAAGTGGCTTTCGCTAGATGGAAAGGATCGCAGACTCTTTGGAATACCAACCGATAAAGATGTGCCTCCTACCCAAGGAAATGTGGTTGGGCAGACGTTCCAGATCATCGCAACGGATTCGACTGGATCTAGGACCATGGATGGGACTATCGTGGTATCAAGAGAAGCTGGGCCTGAGATCAAAATCCCCGTGTCTGAACAAATTAAGCGGTTCGGCTCCTACTCTGCGCCGTCCTCTATCCTCTCTTACCCTTCTACGGACTTTTCATTCTCCTTCAACACAACTACTTTCGCGCATCCATCCAACGGCATCAACTACTATGCGTCTTCGGGAAACAGCAGCCCTTTGCCTGCTTGGGTGAAATTCGATGCGACTACTCTGAGCTTCTCGGGACGCACGCCGACTTTCGAGGCGCTCTATCAGCCTCCACAGAAATTCGATATACGGCTCATTGCATCTGACGTTGCTGGGTTCTCATCGACCTCCATTGACTTTTCCATTGTTGTGGGCAGCCACAAGCTCTCGGCTGAGTCTCCCGTCATTACACTCAATGCAAGCCGAGGGACTTCGTTCAAGTACGGCGGGTTGGCCAACGCTATAAGGCTTGACGGGAAGCCAGCGTCGTCGAAAGATCTCGCCACGACCGTAGCAGCACTGCCGGGCTGGTTGAAGTTCGACTCGGAGACCTGGGTCATTGAGGGCATGCCCAACAAGGGTGATCGTTCAACCAACTTCACAGTCAAGTTCACGGACTCCTTCTCGGACACGCTCGAGGTACTTGTCATGGCGAATGTGGCCACCGGCCTGTTCGAGAAGACGCTGGATGAGATCGAGGCCACGCCCGGGGAGCGCTTCAGCCTGGATGTCGCTCCTTATCTCAGGGATCCGAAGGACATCGAGCTGAAGATTGTCACCAAGCCTGGCCAGGATTGGCTGAAGCTGGACGGGCTGGAAATCACTGGCGATGTGCCAAGTTCGGCAGTTGACAATCTGGATATTCGCATCGAGGCTACGTCACGCAGCTCCAACGTGATGGAATCGGAACTGTTCCAGATTAGTTTCCGACCGGTTGACGGGAG